GAGGAGGAAGACGAAGAAGCAGAAGAGGAAGAAGAACAGGAAGAAGAACAGGAAGAAGAACAGGAAGAAGAAGAGGAAGAAGAAGAGGAAGAGGAGGGAGAAGAAGAGGAAGAAGGAAAGAAAGAAGGAGAAGAAGAGGAAGAAGAAGAAGAGGAAGAAGAAAAGGACGAAGAAGAAGATGAAGAAGACGAAGAAGAAGAAGAAGACGAACGACTGCAACTATGAATCTCTGAGCCAAGTGCAAACTTTCTAACACTCGGATATGTAACTCCTGTTCGTCAGTCAAATCGGTCACTATAATCTACGTTCGTTCGTTCGTTCGGAGACTGACAGTCAGAAAGAAAGGGAAAAAAGAGGAAGAACTTGCCCCATTGACAACTGCATGACTACCACCAATCGGCGTCAGACTCGCTCTCGCCGTTCTCCTCCGCTTCTGTAGGGTGATCATTGCTGATCCAGCTGTGTCCTCTCTGTGATGTCCCATCCTCCACTCCGCGGCTAGGGCGCAGTGGAGGTGCAGGTGGGGCAGGTCTTCCTTCTCCCTTTCGTGGCCGGCCACGCCCCCGTTTGGCTGCTGGAGCAGCAATGGTCTCAGCAGCGGGCTTCCTCTTCCTCCCTGCCCTGCTGATCTCCAAATCATTCTGCACAAGGCCGGCCTGAAGGTGAGTGAAAGGAGGTGGACAGTCAAACAAGTGGCCTGCTGCTACTGCTACAGATGCCTCCTGATGCTGCTGCTGTATATTATGCTGCTGCTGCGCCTGCACATTTAACTGCTGCTGCCCCTGGAGACTTTCTTGTGGCTGCTGCACATGTTCGTGCTGTTTCCATTGCTGCTGCAGCCGCGCATGTTCTTGCTGCTGTTGCTGCGGCGGCGGCTCCATCTCTTGGTCCTGCTGCACCTCGGCATGTCCTTGGTACTGTTCCTGTTCCACTTGTTGCTGCTGCTGGTGGTGCTCAACACCTGCCTCACACTGCACACACTCCATTTGCCAATGTTTCGGTCGCTCCACGTTGTACTGCGGCTGCTGCTGCCTGTCTGGATCGTACTGTACATGTTCCGGACCTGCGGCTGCTGCAGGATGTGATGCAGACTGTCCCTGCTGCACCCTGCTGAGTCTCGGAGGAGGAGGAGGAGGAGGAATGGCAACACGCCACGTATTATCCTCCTCAACCCTCTGCTGCATAACGGTACGATTCCTCTCTGCAAGGGACCTTGCTGAACCCCTCTCCACCCCTTCATCGATCTGGGTCTCCTCCCTCAATGGGCTCCCCGCAGATATGAGGAAATTCAAATCACTGTCCAAGCGAACTGCATTGGTGAGAAGAGAGAACCTATCGACATGTTCCCTCTCGCGCCCAGACTCATCAATGGCCCCAGCCGCACGCAGCACAAAGCCCTCCTCCTCCTCCTCCTCCTCCTCCCCCTCGTCCTCCTCCGCCTCCTCGTCCTCCTCTCCCACCACCTGGGCCTTGCCCTTCGCATCCCGTGGTGGTTGCCTGCTCCTTCGATTATTCACCCCTTTCCCACTCCAGATGAGATCCTCCTCGCTGCTCTCAGAGGCAGACGTGGCATTGTCCTCCCCCCCCTTTAGAATTCTACCCCTTGCAGCTTTCCTCAGTCTTGCCAGCCTGCCCACCTCCTCCTCTGTCTGTTCCAGAGGCCCAGGCAAAACCGCAGCGTCACCTGGGTTGGGCTGCTCCGGCTCGTTGAAGAACGTGCCCCACACATCCAGGAAGCCGCACTTCAGACTCCGTGGCACCACCTTCAGCTGCATATTCCAGTGTATGTACACCAGCTTCGCTACACTGGAGCTGGAGAGATTCTCTGTCTTCTTGATCTGAACCAAGTCCAGGGAGGACCAGTTTTTCTCAGCGGGTGTTGCAGTGCTCCACATCGCAGTCACCCTTGTGGCAATCTTCTGCAGGTCGGGGTGGTTGCAGCCATATTCAGCCCACCATTGTGACGCTGTCATCCGGGTGAGGGAGCTGTCTGCCCTTCCAAACGGGTCCCACATTGGATCGTTCTTCGCCTGTTCCTTCGGGGGCTCGCAGTGAAACATCCACAGACTCTGCCACACGTCTAAGTGGGATTGAAGTGCCCCCCAATGGTCACCCCCCAGCTGCGACATGAAGAACTTGGTTGCGGTGTGCACGAGTGGGGAGTTCTTCTCGAGCAGCCATCGCGGGTCTCTCCTATTGGGAGAGAGGAGGAAGTTTGCAGCATGCGCAGGCTGCCGCATGACCTTGCATCGGTCGTCGACATGTTTCAGAATCTTGTGTGCCTGGTCCCCTGTGAGGCCATGGACATTGTTCAGGCGGCAACGAAGCATATCGCCAAACTCCCACAACTGCGAAGGTGCTGTCCCGTCCCGGTCCATCCTGCACAACATCTCGTTCACAGGCCGCATAATCGTGACAACCCTCTCGACCTCCTGCCACCAATTTGCAGATCTGACCCAGTGGTAGATCTTGTCAGCCTTCTTTCTCAGCTCCCTGCTGCTCCAATGGATCTCCTTCCACCCATTGTCCATCATATCCTCAAGTACCCACCTCCTGTCTTGCAGTCTCTCCAACATCTGGTAGACGGGCGCGAACCGCACCTCTGTAGGCAGAACGAGCGTCTTCTTGCCGTCCATTGAGGATCTCGAGAAGAGCATAACGGTGTGATGGTGCTTTTTTATGAACTTGACCATCGACCTGGCCTGCCTCCTGAGCCTCGCCACCCAGTCGACATTGGCGATGTCCTCCAGCAGGAGGCTGAGAGTGTGTGCTGCGCATGGCATCCATGGAATTCTTGCGATGTCAGGATCCGCACGGCGCTGCAGAATCCTCGCAACCCTTTTGTTGATGCCGGTATTGTCCGTGCAGATAGCATTCACCCTCTGGACTCCAACCTCTCGGATCACCTCCTCCCAGAGCCTCGCAAAGGCCATGGCGTTTTTCTTCCTCTTTGGCATATCCACCACCTTCACAAGGACCGCCCCGCCATCCCCTGCAGCAATGAAGTTGAGGACCGGCCTGAGCTCCTTGTCTGTGAAGCAATCGGTGATGAGCGTGCAGCCTGAGATATCCCACTTATCAAATATGGGCTGCATGGCCTCTTTCACCTGTTCGTAGACCGTGTCCAGCACGACGGTCCGGATAGAGTCCAACGATGGCATCTCCACTTTCGCCTTAGTTGCACCCAACTCAAGGTACAGCTCATGGAGGGCCTTTGTCTCCTCCTGTTGCACAAAGTTGAAGGCGATCCCAGACTGGCACAAAGCTCGCCCCCATTGCGTGTCCAGCCTCTGCTGCGCATTGTTTTCAATCCACCGGCGGATAGACGTTTGTGTGGTCCTTACAGACCTCAGAGTGGTGGTGGAGGCCTGACAAGAAGGGCCTACAGCATCCCGCACGAGTTGTGCCTCTTCCATCACCACCCCATCGCGTCCCTCTCCGCCTCCGGTGGTGGCTGCGGGCTGAACCTCTCTCCCAGACGCTAGAGGCGGTGGAAGATGTGCCTCCATCTCATCCACCGCTGCCCTCTCCACGCCCCCAATGGGGTGCATCCCCTTGTCATCCGCGATGCCTTTCTCCACCCTGTAAGCGTAAAGCATCCTCTGTGCTGCATCCCCCTCGATCTTTGCCCCGTCCAACGCAAGCAGGTGCAGTACCTCGCCTGTCCTGCACGGACACGGCTTCCCTTTCTTCAGAAAGTGTTCCACCGCCCGCGTTGTCGAAGCCGTGAACACACTCCTGCAGAGCCTGCACCGCACCCAATACTGGCCATAACCTTTCGGCTCAGCCATCTGCCCCCGCTCAATCCACCGAAACACAATCTTCTCCTGCTGCAACTCTCGTTGATGAAACTCTGACTGCGGTATAAATTCAGGGGGTCCATTTCCCTTGCGCTTGCCCTTGCTTGCTGCACTGTCTGCCTGGCTCGACGACACCATGACGCGAATGGAGGAGTGCTCGGGGTACGTTGACGATAAGAAGAACTAGAGGTAGAAGAAGAAGAAGAAGAAGAAGAAGAAGAAGAAGAAGAAGAAGAAGAAGAAGAGGAGGAGGAGGAGGAGGAGGAGGGGGAGGGGGAGGAGGCGGAGGCGGAAAAAGCAGAAGTAGAAAAGGAAGACAAAGGAGAAGAAGGGGGGAGGAGGAGGAAGAAGAAGTGGAAGAAGAAGAAAAGATGATGAAGAAGAAGAAGAAGAAGAAGAAGAAGAAGAAGAAGAAGAAGGAAGCAGAAAACAAAGAAGGAAATGGAAGAGTTCTTAAGTACGTCGAAGAAGAAGAAGACGAAGAAGAAGAAGAAGTAGAAGAGGAAAGAACTCTTTCATCAAATAAAAGAGTTCATCAATATGTTTACGAGTGCGATGAGCAAATTACGGTGTCGTTACCTCCGTGATGGACCAGGCGATGACCATCGTCGTAACAAACACATTCTGACGCACCTGCTCACCACAAGGACAAACACACATAGACAAAGAGATAACAGAACATACACAGTTAAAGGGGTTGAGGGGGTCAGGAGGAAGGGGGGAAGAGGTACTCAGCTGATGGACAAATGATACATACAGACCGAGATGTTGTAACGGTTGAGAATGAAATCAAGAGCTTTGACTCCTGCTGCAAACAGTGATATCAGTACCTACCCACTTTTGTGAAAAGGGAAAAGAAACGAAACAACAAAAGTTGTCCTTTTCCAGCATGCTCTATTTATGCTGCAAAACAGTGTTGCACACCCCGGCCGTTGGCAACCCTTGACTGGTCGGCTGCCGACCCACCGACCGGTCGGCTGGTCGGCACCTACCAGGTGGGGGTCATCGGCACCCCGCAACCAAAAAAAAAGATTTTTTTTTTTTTTTTTTTTCGGTCCAGAACCCCTAATAACCCCACGAACACCCCCATACCCACCCCAAATACCCCCATATGACCAGTCGGCTGGTTGGCACCTACCGGTTGGGGGTCGTCGGCACCCCGCAACCGAAAAAAAAGAATTTTTTTTTTTTTTTTTTTGGGTCCAGAACCCCTAATAACCCCACGAACACCCCCATACCCACCCCAAATACCCCCCTACCCCCCCCAACCACCCACAAACCGCCCCCCAACACCCTCATACCCCCCCCAATACCCCCTATACCACCCCTATACCCCCCTATAYCCCCCTATACACCCCASCCCCAACCCCCCCATCCCCAAAAGTTTCTCAGCGGATTTGGGCTGTACTCAGCAAGCGCAGTACAGCTTCCAACTCAGATCTGAAAAAAAATTAGTGGATGGTTGCTTTCTGACTGGTCGGCCCTACTGGTCGGCTGCAATACGGTCGGCGGTCAGGGTCGGCGGTCGGCAGGGATGCAACCATGCTGCAAAACAGAAAAAGCCATTTACGCTGCCCCCTCAATTACGTACCATGTCAACAAAAGAACATGGTTTCTTCCCAGCCAATATGGATGAATGGTAAACCGATAAACTGTTGAGAAACAGACCTAAGTTCAAATCCTGATCACATCAGATGACTAAATGAACTCTGCAATCCTTTGGGGCCTTTGGGGCCTTTGGGGCCTTTGGGGGCTTTGAGGCAAGTCCTTTCCCTGATGATACATCAAGGCCGTCGCCTAAAAAAACAAAGCACATGCTTACAAATACCATCAAGCTACACACACACACACACACACACACACACACACACACACATTCACACACACACACACACCATAGATTGCCAATGGATTCACAAAAACACAGGTCATAAATTCACAGAAAATGGAAGAAGAAGAAGAAGAAGACGAAGAAGAAGAAGAAGGAGGAGGAGGAGGAGGAGGAGGAGGAGAAGAAGGAGGAGTAGGAGGAGGAGGAGAAAGAGGCGGAGGAGGAGGAGGAAGAAGAAGAAGAGGAAGAAGAAGAAGAAAGAAAGAAGAAGAAAATCCCCGCCTGAAGCTTAACGCTGTGACATAGGGGTCAAGGCCCAATCTGCAACCTACTTCGTCGCAGGAGCAATAAGAGACTGGCGCCAAGATCAAGAAAAGGTTGAGTATGCTGTGAGAGCAGACAGGGAGAGCAAAATCGACTTCGGGCAACTACCTCGGGAACGCTCCATGTGATGCCCCACGTTAAGAATATGCGCGACGCAACCTGCGGAAGGGTTGCGGAAATAGGAGCACGAACAATTCCTGTCCCATGATCGACCAGAACAATCAAGGTAAACAGTCAATAACACACCCTGTTGGCCCCGGAGGACTTGAACCCGCAACCTGCCTCAATTTCCCTTTTAGTTTCAAGTTTTTTCCTGTTTATGCCACCGCCAAGGTTCAAAACTACCGTCTTCACCCGAGTAGAACACCCGGTAATTATCGCCGTATCTGGGCTGAAAGTTGTGCCAAATACAGCTATAATGACCGGGCGTTCTATTCGGGTGAAGACGGTAGGACCTGTAGGTGTAGGTAGAATCTCTGCGGGGCAAGTTTAGAATAGGCCTTTTAAACCACCAGTACCTTTCTCATACATCGGTCGCAGGCCCATCGCCGCAACTTTCGGAGGCCCGAAACGGAACACGGGCTGCCGATGAAATTAAATCAACCGCGGTCTGAACCCCACTTGCATTCCACATAACCCGCCGCGGAATTTGTTTTTCAAACGGGGAAAGGTACCTGTGGTTTAAACCACCACTACAGCCGGGCCGGAGGGCGCTGCGCGCCAGGCCTTGCTGAACCGCCAGCCGCGTACTTTTTTCCTTTTTTGGCTGGAGCCGCACCAGCCATTGCGGTCCGGTAGCTAGGAGCCCCGAAAAGTTCCCGACTAGGCGATTGACAAATTTCCACAAGGCTGGGGCCGTGTACGAGTGCAGGTTTTGAGACCAGCAGAAACCTTGATTTCCGCACAACTACAACCAGTAGGTGTAGGCTTAAAAGCACTTCACCAAAAGTAACAAGCTAGGCGGCAGAACCAAGACACTTTTCTCTCGACAAGGTTCGCTTGAGTGGAAGAAAAAGCATCACATAATTTCTAGGGATAACAGAATGCCGATTTGGGTGCGGTCACAGCCAGGCCGTTCTGGCAGTTTACGGCCATCATTTTCGGTTCCGTACTTTCCATTTGACGATGTGTATTCAGGGCGGCTGGGAGGACCTGTGGACATCAGAATTTCTATGTTATATGAAGTACCCAAGTTTGTACATTCAATTTCAATCTTCAGTAAAGCTTCCATTCGAGTGCGAATGTTTCCAGTCAATTGTGAAAGTCGAAAGCGTGTGCTTGAATTGCATGGAGATTCGCAGATGTGCTTGAATTGCATGGAGTTTCGCAGAATTGTTAACGCGCCCCCACAGAGCACGAGGACAAACATGGAGGTTATGCACACAGATAAATCCAAGGTTATGCCCACAGACACAAAAACACGTGCAAATAGACTGCAACTGTGATCAAAGCAGACTGCTCTCTCTCTCTCTCTCTCTCTCTCTCTCTCTCTCTCTCTCTCTCTCTCTCTCTCTCTCTCTCTCTCTCTCTCNNNCACACACACACACACACACACACACACACACACACACACACACACACACACACACACACACACACACAAACACACACACACACACATGCACAACATGTGAGCAACAGTGCATCTCGACCCTCGCTTCTTGTGCTGCTGCTGACCAACCACTTTCCCCCAAGTACGACAACGAAGACAGCCATTCAGAAAATGAACCGCAATCATTAACCCAAATTCGCTGAACGAGAATCAGTGAAACACGTTTTTATGACCGTGTTCAAATGAACAGTGCCCAACGCACTGTGTCATGGTAATTCCAAAAAGCTTGGGAGAAATTCAAGAAGATAAAAAGGGGAAAGTGCATCTGCATCACGAACAAGATTCACCAGTCTTGGGAGGGGGGGAGGGGAGGGTGAAGGCACTCAGGGTAACTCTCAATCACAGGTTTTGATGCAAAAGGGGCCATATTGTGTGAAAATTGACTGACTAGAAACAACAAGAGAAGGGTAACTCTCAATCAAGCAATCAAGCAATCAAGCAATCAAGCAATCAAGCAATCAAGCAATCAAGCAATCAAGCAATCAAGCAATCAAGCAATCCAATCATCCCAATCAAACAATCATCCAATCAATCCAACCAAACAATCATCCAATCAATTGAGCAATCAGCATGAAATCGAGCACGTGATAAACAGGCAGCAAGCTGATGTTAACTTGTATCTGATACGAACTGCGTTGAAGTAGAATATGGCAACACTGTATACTTGGTCTACTAAAAAAGAAAAAGGAACATCGAACACACATCACAATTGACGATCAGCGACATTAAACCACCAGTACATCCAAGGCTCTTGTTGCTGAGGCAGAATCCCCCTGTGCGCCAAGCTTCGTGGAAACACCAGTGCAGTGTTTTTTTTTCCTAATGTCGCAGTGTTTTTTTTCCCTAATCTTTTGGCTGGCCACGCCAGCCATTTAGTCCGGTAGCGCCATTCATCCCAACTTTTCGGAACGACTCATTTTCGATCGATTCTCAAGTTTGCCATTTAGGCGGTGTACTTGTTGCGGTTCAAGGATCTCACTTGAGACAAGGCATTTTGTAAGAGGGAGGATGGGAATGACGGTGAAAGACTACCATCATCACCCGAATAAAACGTACTGTATTAGGGGCAACTTGAGTCTAGATACAGCAATAGTGACCATACATTGTATTTGGGTGAAGACGGCAGAGAACACTACAGAGGACAGGGAAAACAGGAAAGGAAATGGAGAAGGAAGGAGGGAGGGAGGGAGGGAGGGAGGGAGATGATTGTGAGGGAGCGACACACAAAGAGAGGGAGAGCAGCGGAAGGAAGAATGAAGCTTCGCACCTAAAAGGCTGTGGACAATCTGCGCACACATAGTCAACACAGGAAATGACAAAAAACACAATGTCAGAGACTGGAGTATGCACCCCTTTCGGAAAGTGCGCTTTCCCTTTCTTCGATTTCTTCCAAACATGACTTGGATCGCTGCATGCATGCGCTCAAACCGATCATGACGCACCCACCCATCCATACCTCCATCTGCACAGATGTATGTGTGTATGTATTGTATGTATTGTATGTATGTATGTATATATGTATGTATGTATGTATGTATGTATGCATGATTGTATGTATGTAGACATACATACATACATACATGGATGTATGTATGTATGTATGTATGTCTACATGTATGTATGTATGTATGTATGTATGTATGTATGTACGTATGTGTGTATGTATGTATGTATGAATGCAACGCACACACACCCTGCTGCCAACCCATCCTTCCTTCTGTCCATTCGTTCATCAAGTCCATCCGTCCGTCTATCTATCTATCCCTCCCCTCCCCTCCCCTCCCCTTGTCCACTCCATCGGTCCATCTATCTGTCTATATGTCTACCTCCGTCTATCTATCTGTCTATCTCTGTATATCTGTCTATCTCTTCCCTCCCCTCCCCTCATCCATCCATCCATCCGTCCGCCCATCTCTCGATCTACCTATCTATCTATCTATCTATCTATCTATCTATCTATCTATCTATCCATGTTTGGTTTTGGAGAAAGTTGTGAGCCGAGGAGACATTTGTCCACATCTAGGACTGAAACGATTTTTGTCCTGTGTGCCCATTCAGGTGTCCCCTTTTGCGCATAGGACCATTTATTTCTTTTCTCCGAACCTGGAGGAGGCTTCAGACCTGATCCATACTCACATAACTCTGTCCGTACTCGGACTTGCACAGTTGAACAGAATCTCGTCCTAATTGCAGTCAGAGACATCCCCAATAATCCTGGTAGGGAAGGGGGAAGGGGGGGGAAGGGGGGGCAATGGGGGGGAAGGCGGGGGAAGGAAGAAAGCAGGGAAAATGCATACCTCTAAAAGGGCAGCTGTTTGAAAAATTAAAAGGGGTTTTTCCACGGCGGAATATACACCCTCTGTGCCTGTGCTAAGCAGCGTCAGTCCAACTAGGACAACAAWATATGTCCTGTGCCAAAAAMAAAAAAAAAAAMAAAAGAAAAAAMGAGGGGGGGGGGGGGGGGGGGGGGGGGGGGGGGGGGGAAACRAACAATGCCAGTACGMACAARTTTTARCAMAMAATAAAAAWGCATARATGCAATTTACACATTAAAAATTATTAAATGTTAAACGTTACATAAAGTATTATTCTACAGAGCAAGGGAGAAGGAATGCAAAAACCTAAACCAAAAAAAAAAAAAAAAAAAAAAGAGCTTTCGCACATGTAAGGACAAGAATTCCAAAAGAAAAAAGAAATTAATGTACTAGGGGCAAATTGCCCGGCCAGGCAAAAGAAAAAAAATAATAACAATAATAATTTTATTTTTTATTTCAAATTTGGTAACGAAATTCGATGTGACCCTGAGGCAAAAGTTGTTCAGTTTATTTTTGTGCATCACATAGTTTTTTAAGATTTTTGGATTTTTCTTTTTTGCTGGGCCCTTCGCTGGTCCTCCCACGGCCGGGCCGCCCGGTCAAACAAGGTGACCCGGGCGGCCCGGCTGGTAGCCCAGGCACTAGAAGATATCACTAAATTTAATAGATAAAAAGAACAATTGATATCCAATGTCACGCATGTACCAGTTAAACTTTTTTTTTTTCCTGACTTCCAAAAAAAAAAAAGAAAGAAAAAGAAAACAGTACTGGCCCCTTGCCTCATAAACAGTCATGCATGTACCAGGTACACAAGTCGCTTTTTTCTATTTTAATTGTATTAAATCATTTAAAAAAAAAAAAAACATTCAACCAATAAATACTAAATACTAAATAGTACATTAGGAATTTATTAAACAGTACCAGCCTCCACCTCCTGCCGCACCTTTACCCCCTTTTCCCCTTCCCATGTCCCTTTTTTGTCTTTTTTCCCCCCTTTCTTTCTTTTTCTTTTCTTTCCCTTTTGTTTTTCTCTTTCTTTTCTTTTTCTTTTTCTTCTTCCTTCCTTTCTTTTTCTCCTTCTCTTAAAAAAAAAAAAAATACTTCTGCAAGGAAAATGAGCAATAGCGAGATGACAGAATCCAGATAACACGATCACATTGATAGCCAGAAAGTCTCACAGACTTGGAAAAAAAAAAAAAAAAAAGTCTCACAGTGCCCAGAAAGCAGCATTGCACCAATAATACCACCAATGGAGAAGCGAAACACTGAAACCGAATGTCAATGAGAGTTTATAGAGTTTACTCTCGGCATCACCAACATAAGAGTCCAGGGCCTTCCCCCCCTACTTGGCGCTCGGCGACGCCCAGACTACTCCCCACACAGCTACTATCTGCCTATGAATTGACAATGCAACTGTTGACGTCAGAAGCCACCGAAGTACATGAAGATGTCGCCCAATGCAGACCATCGCAACCTTACCCCCGGTGTGACGGAGCGCCGATGGGGGGGGG